AACTCAAAAGAACAATTATAAACATGATAAAAGAATTCAGTGAATTTAAAGAACACACAAAAAATAGAAATCAAAGAACTGAAGGAAGATAAGGATAAACTTCTGAATGAATTCAGCAAAGAGCTAGAAATACTAAAGACTAATCAGGATGAAATGAAGGAAGTGAAACACTCAGGAAACCAATTAGAAACAACAGGAGAAAGCCTCACCAATAGGATGAATGATATGGAAAACAGAGTATCAAGATGGAAGATAAAGTGAATGAACTAGACCACTCAAGCAAAGATTATGAAAAATTTAAGAAAGCACAAGAATGGAATATGCAAGAGTTGTGTGCCACCATTAAAAAAAAAAAAAACTTAAGAATCATAGGCATACAGGAAGGAGAAGAATCTCAAGATAATGGTATGGAACAGATCTTCAACAGGATTGTAGAAGAAAATTTCCCAAAATTAAAAAAAGACATGCCCATACACATACAAGAGCCTATAGAACACCAAATAGAGAGGACCAGAAGAAACTCTCCACAGCACATCATAGTAAAAACAGTAACAAAGAGACAATACTGAAAGTGGCAAAAGAAAAACAAGTCAAATATAAAGGAAAACCCATCAGGATTACAGCTGACTTTTCAGTGAAACTATGAAAGCCAAGCATTCCCAATTCTAAATGATCACAGATGCCAACCCAGATTACTTTACCCAGACAAAATGTCTATTATACTCTAAGGGGAAAGAAAAATCTTCCATGACATAAATAGGCTGAAAGAATTCATGTCCACAAACGAGCCCTTCACTTGAAGCATGAAGCAATACAAAGAGCTGAAGAAAGGAATGACTATACCCAAGGGGTTGCAGAAAGAAATTCAATGAAGGTATAACTGTGGAAAAGTACCGCTACATCAAGAATGTGAACAGAAATAAAAATGACAGGATGCAATACATATCTTTCATTAATAACTTTAAATATCAATGGACTGAACTCCCCAGCCAGAAGATACAGACTAGTTAAATGGATTAAGAAACAAAACCCATCTTTTTGTTGTCTGCAAGAAACTCATCTCACATTCAAAGACAGGCAATACCTTAAGGTGAAAGGATGGAAACCAATATACCAAGCGAATACTACAAAGAAAAAAGCAGGCATTACAATTCTAATATCTGATAAAATAGACTTTAAAACTAATTAGAAGAGACAAAGAAAGCCACTTCATTCTGTTCAAAGGAACAATAAACCAAGAAGACATTACAATCATAAACATATTCACCAAACTCTGGTGTACCCAAATTCATAAAAACAGTACTACAGGACTTTAGACCCAGATTAATCCCAACTCATTAATAGTAGGGGACTTCAATATCCCATTATCCTCATTAGATAGATCAACAGGACAGAGAATTAACAAAAAAAATCTGAATTAAATAATACCATATATCAAATGGACCTAACAGACATATACCGAATATTCTACCCAAGCACCAAAGAATATATTTTCTATTCAGAGCCCATGGAACCTTCTACAAAACTGACGACATGCCGGGACACAAAACAAACCTCAACAAATACAAAAACACTGAAATAATTGAATGCATTCTATCAGACCACAATGCAATAAAGCTTAAAATCAACACCGGAAGAAACCCCAGTAACCACACGAACACATGGAGATTAAACAATATATTCCTCGATGATGACTGGGTCAAAGGAGAAATTAAGAAAGAAATGAAAGTATTCCTGGAACTAAACAAAAAGGTCATTACAACAGAATAAAACCTATGGGACACATTGAAAGCAGTCTTTGGCAGGAAGTTTATAGCTCTAAGTGCCTACATTAAAAAAACAGAAAGAGCCGGGTGTGGTGGCGCACACCTATGGTCCCAGCACTTGGGAGGCAGAGGCAGGCAGACCACTGTGAGTTCAAGGCCAGCCTGGGCTACATAGTGAGTTCCAGGACAGCTGGGGCTACAGGGAGACCCTGTCTCAAATCGGAAAGAACACAAATAAATGACTTAACATTGCAACTCAAGACATTTGAAAAGCAACAGCAAATGAAACCCAAACCCAGCAGACAAGAAGAAATAACAAAAATCAGGGCAGAAATTAATGAAATTGAAACAAAGGA